AACATCCCACAGTCACTTTATGAACTCAAACACACACACACACACACACACACACACACACACACACACACACACACACACGCTCCGGGACGGATGAACAGAAAAATCATACAGACCAACAGGACAACTTGTGTATTAAAGGGGATTTTAAGGAGATTAAGGATCCGGTGACAATAGAAGATAAAAATGAAAATGTTCAAAGTCCACCTTAAGACAGAATTCACCTTGTTATTGATGTTTCAATGAGCCCACAATGACAGGACTTAAGTGGATTTCGCAGGGATGAGAGCACATTTTCCAGCTCACACCTGTTCGCGCCAGAGGGAAATAAACCTCATGTGGCTGAAAATCTGAGCTTGCAAACTGAGTCTCTCTTTATCTCTGTGTCCATGCGCACAGAAATCGATTTACCTAGAAATAAAAATAACATGAATTCTGTCTGGAGTGGGTGGACGTTTTTTTTTTTTTTTTTTTTTACATTTAACTCAAGAATCCAACTCTTTAGCCACAGGTTAACATTTAAGAGACTTTGGCAAATCTCACAGCAAAATGACCCATCATCATCTAGTCATTCACGTTGGCTAAAAATGTTACCTACGCATTGTCACCTTAAGCACTTACAGTTAAACAAAAATCACATCAATTTGTTTTAGTGACTAAAGGCCACTTTGAACAGAGGTGGTTTGATTTAACAGCATGTATACATTTACCTGCTCTCTGAAAACAATTAAAAACAAAAACAAAAAAATAATTGAAGTTTTGTGCTTTTTTCACCTTCAAATACAAACTGAGTGCTCTTTTTCTCAGTTCAAAATAAAATATCTTCATTTTTTTTCCACATGAAATTCATTCTTATATTCATTCAGGGAAGCCAGCTCTTCTGCTGCAACAGCAAAGCAAATAAATAAAAATAGCTAAAAAATAAAATATTTAATGTCAGAGTAAACCAATCACCTTTATTATAGCTGTATCATCATCATCTTGCTGTCAGTTGAAAACCTCATCTCTCAAGAACTTTTTTAAAAACTTCCCTTAATTAAGGGACAATCTGCCTTAATTTCTGAATGGATTACATGAGCTGTGAGGTCAAATGCAGCACATGAAAAGGCCAATTTCATTGTCACGTTTAACAGGAAAAAAAAAATATAAATATATATATATATATATGGATGGAAGACACTGAAATTTTCAGCTGACAGAAGCAATTGTCTGAGTTAACCTCCTTGACATCAGCATCACCATCTGAATAACTAGCTCGGCTGTAACTGCTCTTACATGTGAAGTACAAGGGGATAAAAGCTCCTCAGATCAGCACAAACATCCCCAGTAAACACTGAGCCTCAAACAGCCAGGCTTCAGTCTGTGTTACAGACTTTAAAAGACTAACAGATAATAAACCATCTGTATGTTCTTGCTTCAGGTTAATTTCACTGAAAAAAATAACAATATAGTATGAACCAAAAGTAATTATAAATGATCAGACAGGAAACTGAGCTATGAAATGAATGCCTGTGTTTAATAGTAATAACCACCTGTCACATATAAATTTAATAGTTTTCAATGAAACAAGCAGCCAGGTCATTAATGGAGTAAAAATGCTTTCTTGGCAGCTCGTAGTGTGTTGTCGTAGTGGTATATTATTTTTTAGCATCCCCGATTTAGTGTCTCCAATTCATCTGACATCTTTTGTAAAATTAGTGTTATTAGTAGAGAGAAATTAATGTGATAGAGGGATGCTAGATTTATGCACCGTGTGTGTGTGCGGTGTTTCCCAGAGTGTTTATGGACTCAACAGAAGAGTCCAGATTGGGTTTTCAAAAGCTGGTGTTGCTTAGTTTCTGTTTTGAAAAATGAATTCAGAGTTTAGAGCTGGATTTATCTTAACTCAATGATTGTCTCAGTGCAGCCTCGGCACGACAACAGTAATATATAATACTTACAAGCACAGCTGGGGCCACTTTCTATAAACAACTAAAGACAGAACGGCAGTTTGGTATGTAGACAGACATCTTATGTGAAACATAAAATGAAATGCTGGAAGTTTCAAGAAGATCCATTTCCTGAAGTGGATAAATTCAAAGTGCTTTGAACCCAGCCTCGTAGCTGTACAACAAAATACAACAAAAGAACTTGTACAGACCAAAGTCCAACATAATGTATTTCACACTTAAGTTTGGAGAAATCCAACCTGTCAAACCAGCTCTTTTCACATATCTTCTTCTGAATGAGCAGATGAGTAATTGTTTGTCTATGAAGTCAGCACTGATTTTATTTTCTAAAAGAAACATATGCTCAAAGAAAAATAAAATATTTTCATCACCTGCAGCGATGTAGTGAAGGAGAAAGGAGTGCTTTACACTGAGGGGAATAGAGCATATTGAGTCATTTTTTAAATGCAGGTGATGGTAAACCAAGCTGTCTACAAAACAGGATTTATCTTATTCTAAAAAGGGCAGTTTGCGAGTGACCAGTCACAGTGAACTCTACATGTGCACACGTCTCTCTAGACGAGTGCGTCACATATGTTTTCTGGGTTTGATGTACGAACACAGACCCCCGGTCGAGTGAGGATCTGGGGGTCGTATCCGCTCTGTTAGATGAAGGACTCCAGAGTTAGTGAGCTAACTAACAGGCTTAGCTAGTTGGCCTGTTGGGACGGTCACCTGGTAGCACTGATCTTAAGCTACATTATATATATAACTTGCACTGTGTCAAGCTAGGTCGGGTGGGGCGGGTAGCTAGCATGACTGGCTAGCCGTTGTGGTTGGCAGTCAGCAAACTGGACTGACTGGTTGGCTGGTTCAGGCTTTCTGCCCAGAGCTGCCTGACTCTTCTCCTGATTAGCCAGGCCTGGCTGATGTTTGATGGGCGGCTGATTTTTCAGTCTCTGTACCTCAGTTCGATGATGTCACTTCCTGTAGTCTGTGGTGGAGTTAGCTGTAGTGTCTGTCTTTGTGGCAGTTTCCTCAGTGTTTCCAGGGAGCTGCATGGCCGTGGCCTTAGGCCCGCCCCCATTTTGAAGTGTCTCCTGTTTGTATTGTTGCAAGGCGCGATTGACAGCATCCTCAACCAGTCTCTTGCTGACCCTCAGTAGCTCTGCCTCGTCAGGCTCAGACCGGCGACGCCCACCTGGATAGAACAAGCACGACAAAAGCATTTACCACATCCGTTTCTCATATTCAATCATGAACACATTCTGTACATTATCATTCACAAACTCAATACACACAGATACGCAAACAACGCAAGAAAGTGAGATATCTGGCTCCTCAGCTGCTAAATGTTCTGCTATGTTCACCAGCTATTTGCTAACTTTGTGTATCTGCTGTGTGGTGCTGGGCAGGTAGCGTACAGCGGGTTTATCAGAACATTTTTGTTCTACATAGCTGCAGCTGTAACAACACTGATGAAAGTGAAACACAACAGTGAAGGTGCAGGCCGTAAAACCCACAAGGAGCTGAGGGAAACTGCAGAGATGGGCAATTATTCTCTGTGGATTTGTCAGTGTGAACAAACCTTTTCAAATCAAACATGGTTATTTTTTCCACTGTTAAGGTAACATATTGATTAGTGCAGCTACAAGGTAAAATAAGGAATATGCCCCTGGAATAATACTCTGGAAATGATGTACCTAAATAATGAATGAAATATTTGAGTAAATTTATTTATTTTAGGATAAGTCACATATTGTTTTAATAAAATTTGAACTGAAAATCTTATTTTCTGGAACTATACATCTTTGTAGTTTTACAGCATTTTCAGATGCTGCTGAGATGAAACTCTAAACCAGATTTAGTGATATACTGATGCCCCTAAAATTTGCTGTAAAAAGTTGTTGTTTTTCTGTTTTTACTTGTGTATTTTTGATGGAATCAATAACCCCTTTCTAAAAAAGAGAACAATATAATTTTTCAAATTGAAACCCATCATCAAACTGTGGATTTTCAACTTCTGTTTATGCCACTATACCTGGTGGTCTGTATGTGACAGGGATGACATATTCAAATAATTAACTATAGTGACATTTAATGCCATTAACTACAGTGGATTTGATTCCAGCTCCAAGTCTTTTTTATATGATAACAGGGCCTGTTTCATTCTTATTCTCGTATAGTCAAAATGAAAAGGGAGGGTAACTATTAATCTGATAATAATAAATGACTATACAATCACTCATTGTAGAGTGAATCCAGCAACAATAGATTGGATATGACAACAATAGAAAAGATGTGACAGTTAGGGTGTTGAGTTGATGATAACAGATGAGGTAAACAACCATCTATTGGCTCTTCTGTACATGCATTTTGAATCTAATCTACCTCCTGCAGTGTTTGAAAAGATGATAAATTCAACAAGTAAAGCTTTTATCACACTGCTAGTTGTGCTTTTGCTATGGACAAAATGGCAGTCAAAAAGACAGTGAGATAGAGGGGGAGTCAGACAGACATAAAGCCAGTTAGAAAAAAAAAAAAAAGACTGGCAGAAAGTCAATAATTCATGGAGAAAGACAGTTATGCAGAGGCTGTAAGATGGACAGCCAGCACCAAGCCATTCAGAAAGAGAGTAATAGAGAATCACTCAAGCATCGAGCCTGTCTGAGGCACACACACACACATACACACACACACACACACACACACACACACACACACACACACACAGATCACTGTGGTGGTTCAGAGACACACTATAACCACCTCAACATTTGATTACTGAGGCCAAACAGAAAATCCCCAAGCTAATCTTCCATACCACAAAACTCTCCTGGGCCCAGGGGTTTGTTTATATGTGAAAGCAGTGTGGTGCTCTATTATTCATTACAGAAGAATACAGAACATACAGAATAGAGTGAGAAAGCCTTTGAGGATGATAAAGGTTTCCTGAGGTGAGAATCTCATCCATGAAGCGATATATCTACTTTTTTTCTACCAACCTAGTGTTACTGTTGATGTTCTTGTATTGCTTTTTGCAGATTACCCTTCCTCCTTAGAGGAACACTGTGGAATTTTTAATCTCTAGTAGCAACATGGAGCAACATATTTGTTCCTGAAATCTTTGCTTAACAAAAAAATTCTACAAGGAACCTTTAAGACACAAAGTATCATTGACTTTTTGGCAAACTGACTCTTAAATCAGTTTAGTAGTATGACAAAATGTAGCTCAGTTTCTCTGATCTAGCTCTCTGCTGAAGTGCACCTAGTGGCTACTAAACATGACACATCTAACCAGCAAAAAGTAAAGTCCTGAAAGGTATGAATTTAATAAGGTGTAGAAATGCTCTGCAGGTGCCTCAGTCCATGAAGACTTGCTATAGTAATGTCAGTCACCGATGACTGATTGTGCCACACGTATCCCTTCTTTCATCCTCCAGGTGTTCTGCTGGGCTGACATCTGCTCTACAGACCATACTGATATTAATCAGTCACAATCACATGCATGTCACAGCAACATTTCACCACCACTAGCGGCTTGTTCTGTTGACACATGCATTATGCGTCCATGGATTTGTGTTATTTATGCCAAATATTCAGCCTGCTAACAACACGCTGGACAGAAACCAGCATTCGTCAGACCAGACGGCAAATGTATACTCATCCAATTATGATCAGCATGTGCTCACATCAGCTTCACTTTTTTTTTTTTTTTTGCTAAAGTGGTTTGTACCTAACATGATGTTCTGTTGTAGTACATCTAGCTCATGGCTTATTGAGTTGTGTGTTCTAAGAAGCCCTGCTGCTGTTGTACTAAGATGCTATTTGATTAACTGTGGCCTGCCTTCCACTTTGAGTGACTCATGACTCTGACCGCTTTTCGATGAGTTATTTTTACCCTCAGGAGAATGAATTTATTCTGAATCTGCCTTTCTTAGTAAACTGTAGACACTAGTATGTGGAGCTCCTCAGATGCAGGTAATTTCTGAGTATCTGATACTGGCACTTGTGGCACTAATGATCAAGTCATTTAAATCATGTGACCTAACCAACTTCTACAGGCTGTGCATGGTCATTGCACTGGTCTTAACGTTCCCTCATTTGCCGCCACAAAGCTTTATGCAGCTCATTATCGATGATTGGCTCCTGGTCTTTGTGACCAACAGTAATCAGCCGCTGCTCACATACAAAAATATTCTTTAGTTCAGGAAACATATTGCTCATATAAACAAACATGAATATGTATGCAGAGTCATTTTCCCTCCATCTCTGGGAACGCTGTCAAGATATGTGTAGACTACATTTCAAAGTAAAGAAACTGTAGTAAAAGTAGCTCATTTAAACAGCGAATAGCAGCTCCCATGAAGATGAAGGCACAGCAGGATGTAAACATGCTGAACCTATTCCAAGCCCAACAGGTGCTGAGGGCCACTACCTTGTTTGCATGATTTATACTTTAGTCACACATATTTCATAGTGCGGTGGAGGAAGTTATTACAGCACAAATGAAGGAATGTCTGTAATAAAATCCTTGCATGCAAAATACCGAAACATGCGAAAGGCAAATATCAGCAAGTAAAGCTGTTGCATTCAAAACTTTTAGGGCTGCAGACACAAGCTAATGGATCTAGTGCATTATAAAAATGCAATGTCCTGCTCAAGGAAACTACAGCAGGGCGATGCTGCACGATAACACAAGGCCATAAACCCAGGCAGTGCGGCTGATGGACATTCTTAATCACTTCCTGCTCTGCTGCCTGAAACCAGAAGGACAGAAGCTGCGTCTGGTTAACTGAATTTAAACTGATGGGTTACGTGAAATGATCATAGATGAGAAATTATACATCAGCTGAAAGGAAATGCTGGCAGATACTGTTTTATTGATTAGATTTCTGATTAATTTTATAAAATGCTGATGATTAGCAGATCAGTTGCAACAGGATTAAACCCATATATGAATTAAAAAAAAGAAAGATTATTTGGAATTTTTGGGAAAATGATTACACAAGCTCCACGTCATCGTTGAAAAAGTCACTTACGTTGTGTTGTGTGTTATTAATATGATCAATAGTATTCCAGAAGTCAGTAATCACATCATGACTCATCATCAGTTTGATTAGGGATTACATCATGGAGAACATTTTTAGCCCATAATCACATGTAGATTAGCTATCGAATGAACCCTCCTAACTCTGATTGTAGACATACGACATGAGGCGGACACATACTTGAACGTTTGGAACGGAGTGGATTCTGAACCAAGTCTGCAACACAAGCATAAAAATGAAATATTAAATCAAGACACACATACAAAAACACAAAAAAAAAAACCCAACAAGATGCATTTTATCTTGTTGTCTCGTGGATTTCATACACTCACGAAGCAGCACAGTCATAAAAGCCTCTTTGTCTGTTAACACAAGGGAGATACTTTCAGCGCTACACAGCAGTGAAGAAAAAAAAAAAGTTTTGACCCTGGGCTACAAGAAGACTATAATGGATGCACAATTATTCTGAAGAAATATTGTTATCCAAATCCACTGACTGTCATACTGCCAATAGCTGCAAGAGTAAAAATAGGGTGCAGGAACATTTTATTTCAAAGATGGAAGAATTGCAAACACAAAATATTTTAAGTCCCTGTTTCAGATGAGGCGGCACTTTCGAGAATAACTGTCGGATGATTTTAAAATGGGAAGATTATGGCATATGGGAACTGAATCCCTCATTTCGTGTCCTCTCTTATTCAGATCAGTTCCTGCTGTCGTTATGAACATCCAGAAAATATTAGCTTGTAATTCTGACCCTGTATATATGATGTAACGCTGTCAAAGGTCTGTTTAAAGGGGTGTGTGTATGTGAGAAACTCTTTTTATCTTCCAGTCCAATTTCGCCCTGACAAAATGAACGCCTTTATGATGGCAGTAAAGCTGCCCTCTGTCCCTGCTTACACGTGTAATACGTGTAACACACACACACACATACACACACACACACACATTCCTCAGTAACAAGGCTGACAGTTCAACAGCATCTTACACACTTTCTCACACAGTACACCCACAACTTCTCATAGCTCATATCCTCACTCTCACACTCCTTTGTTTCTGTATCTTCTACTCTCTTTCTCTCTCTCTCAATCTTTCAAACCCCCTCCATCTCTACCACTCTGCCTCCTGCCACCTCTTCTCATCTTTACTTTTCCAAACCTCTCTTTATCTAAACCTTTTTTCCTCTCTCTCTCTTTCTCTCTCTCTACCTTTCTTTTTTTGCTGGCTGTGTTGTCATGGTGATGGGATGAGAACCAGACAGGCATTTCAACTTTTAACAACACTGGAGGACGTACCGACTTCCATCTGGTTTTTGGCAGGTTTCACTCTCTCATGTCTCCAAGAGTCTTTTTCTCAGCATGTCTTTCTTTTTCCCCACGACCTTTCTCTTTGTAGCTCATCTTTACCCTCATACTGACTGTCGAGTCTAAAGACCCGGTGCCAAATATTTCCAGTGAAGTCTCTCTCTGTGGACTGACATGTTTTATTTTTGCCTTTAACTGTAGTGTCCTTCCTTTCTTCATCAGTATGCATTACATTAAACTCTGCCTCTTTCACTGTGATGTTAATTCATCTACAGCCAGACTGAACCTCTTGGCCCATTTGGTGCAAACCAAGCCAATTAGTGTCTTTAACTGGTAAGTAGTAGTAATGAGGACAGTTTTAGGTGGAAATTATTATTATCTTGCCCGGGTAGATACTGGTTAAACCTGTAGTGGAAATATGATTAGTCCAGGATATGCTGTCCTCTGTCCAACAGTAATTGTTTGCCAGGTAGTGCTTTAATTGCCCGTTTATATTTTTAGCCATGATAGCGGCATGGTTTGTAGGTTCGTCTACCATCTTTGTCCTTCCTGAAATATCTCAACTAAGGCCGAACTCAGTGTTGTTAATGTGTTGATTATTTTCTTGATTTATCAGATAGTTCTTTGGTCCACCACTGTTTTCCAGAAACCAAGGTGATGTCTTTAAATGTCTTGTTTTGTTCGACCAACAGTCCAAGAACCTAAAACATTACATTTACAATAAAAAAAGGAAAACCAGAGAAGCTGAAACTAAAGGATGGGTGAAAGTTAACTTAACAACTTAATCCATTATTAAAATAGCTTGACCATTTGTTTCAGACTGGACCTTAACTTTGTATCTTGTGCCAATTATTTTACTTTGGTTGATGATTAGCAAATGTTAGCATGCTAACTGCTAAACTAAGATGGTAAACATGGTAAATATTCTACCTGCTAAGTCAGAAAGTCAGCATTGTTATTGTGAGCATGTTAGCACCTTGATGTTTGCATTAGGTCAAAGCACAGCTGTGGCTACATATAGCCTCACCCGACAGATCTTTTCAATAGTGTTGAAACTATAAGTTAATTCAATTCAATTAGTTAAAAATCATTAGTTTCAGCCCTAATTCTATTACATTATAAAGCAGCAAATAAAAAGCCCTTTTATCATAGTGCACGATGTCCAAAAGTTATGCAACTGTGAGCTTGTTTTGTATTCTAACATTAGCATTTATTTATTTGAGCACTAGAGCTGCTAGCATGGCCGTAGACGCTCCTCCCTTCTCCTTCCACTTTGTTCCTCCTCCCTCTTTGTCTCTGAAGTGCACTGGTTTATAGTCACTCAGACAGACAGAAAGGTCGAAAGGTTGTTGGTGTACAGATGCTGTTTTTGGGATTATGACTGTACACTGTCACGGAGCTGTGAGTCTGCAGCATGTCAAGTGACAACTACTGTGTGTCTGCTTTGCTTTCATTTCATTCCCAGCGTCACCGCTCTGCCCTGTTGTGCTTGGCTCTGCTCTTTTCTCCTGGGCACCACTCTACTGTGATTTATTCTGTGCGATGTAAGAACCTTTTAACACCATTACTTCAAACTTCCATGCACACCTATTTATCTTGTTCTGTGGCTCCTTCTTCTGCCAAATAATTAATAGAGTCCACTTCCTGGTTGAATCAGAGCTGACATTCTGCTGAAGCCTGCCAAAAATCTTTAGGCAGGCGCTTTTAATACTTTGTACTTTCCATGATGGAGGGAACACTTTATAATGTTCAGTTCCAGCTGATGGTGGCTACTCTGGTGACGCAACCCATACACAACCACTTCACATTTACATGCAGTATAATCCCATTAAAGACCCGAATCAAATTCACTGGATACAGCAACATAACTGATTATATTTACACCTAGCCTAATAATCTGTGGCTATGACTAATTTCTTCTTACCCCAAATCAACTGATTCCCTGAAAGCTGTAGCAGAGGTTTAGACACAAATTTAATGCAGCATATCTGGTGAGAGGAGGAGGATACATGAAGACAAGGCAATGGGCAGATGAGGAGGAGGAGGAGGGAAAGAGGGGGATAAAGAGGAGGAGAAAGACTACAGTACAGTACGCGATGTGAGGAAAAGGAGGGTGAGCATATTTGCGCAATGCAAAGACTTCCTTAATGGAGGTTCGAATGAGAAATGAAAAAGCAAAGCAAGAGGAAAAAAGAAGGGAGCGGGTGCATTTGAGGACGGAGGGGGAGGCTGGAGGAGGAGGAGAAGGAGGGGAAGGGAGGAAGAACGGACATTGAAATAGGAGTATAGGAGGAGGACAGTGGGGGTATATAGAGGCTGTGGAGCAGCGGGGTAGGTGGGGATAGAGCCCTGATGGTGGAGTGGTTTCCTCAGGAAATACCAGACGCTCTCTTAGACACGAGATACCGACTGCAGCCCAGTTCAACAAACTTATATTTACACTGTATTCTAGGGAGCCAGTATTCGACTTATTATTATTCATTGCCAGGTAGACTGTTCATTACAAAATGCAAACAAAAATGCACTCCCTAAATACATGCAGAATAACATCAGGATGTTGTGCTTCCTCTCAGGGAAGGTTAATCCAGTAAATTAAACATTTGGCTGGAGGTAGAAAGTCAGATCAATAAACCTAAGCTGTTATCCTTTGGCTGGAGAATGGCTGAGAGACACTACAGTGCCCAATGTCCTCATCAAATGGCCTTTGAGCGAGGCACTAATCACATAAATGCACCAAGGACACTGCGAACTATTCAAAGCATTTAAAATAAAAATTTTAGACAAAAAACAAAAAGATAAAAAAACACTAGGAGGAGATGCTTGGATTAAAATTATGCAGCTCTATGACTCATTACTCATCTTTCTACAACATATTCTGTCATAGTCTAATCTGCCTGCATTTCGGTGAATTCAACAATAGAGAAAAATAATTACATTTCTCACAATCTCTTCCTTGCACCAGAACAATGGGATACAGGGTGTTGGTGCCCAGAAGTGTGTGAGTCATTACTCTCTACCAGTGCGCTGATCGACAATTTCATGGCTGATAGATTTCCTCCACTGAGACAGTGAACACCATCAAAGCACTTTGAAAACAATGCAACAAGGATGAAGAAGACTCAAAGAGGCACTGAGGCTGAATGGGAAATAGCATATGCAGTCAATGTGCTACCTGAGGCCTCGCCTTTATATAATACTGCCAGAAACAACAAGGTTAACTAATTTGGCTGCTGGTAGAAAGAGTTAATTTGCATTTTGTCGCCCTAACATGAACATGATGACAAAAAGCAAACTGCCATCATTCCCGGAAAAGAAAGCCTTAGGCCAGATGTTACATTATGAATATGACAGTGGAATACTGTGTTAAAAAAAAGTAGAACATAAACTAATTATGTTGGTGATTTGCTCTGAAGTGACTTCAGAGAAATAAGGTTCTGAGAAAACATACATACTAGTGCAACCCAATTATTCCTAGGAAATTATTGCAGCCTTTAGCCACAGTGGTGCTTTGAGCTAAATGTCAACGCGCTGATGTTCAGCAGGTATCATTTTAAGCAGAATATTTACCATGTTAACAATCTAAGTTTAGCGTGGTAGCATGCTAACATTTGCTAACTTGGTCATTAACTAAAATATAGATCAAAATAAAAATTGGATTTCAAAAGTCAGGACATCACCACCTAGATTACAATCCACGCTCAGGGGGGACATTTCACACCAAATAGTTGTCACTCTAAACCAAACATATCAACCTGATGGAGGAAAAGGAAGGACATGGTGTCAACAAAGTCATTAGGATTCATCCTCTGGGCACCATGAGGCAAATCACCCAATAGTTGCCAAAATATTTCACTAAAAACCCCAAATGTCACCCTCATGGTGGCACTACAGGAAAACTCCATGCTGTAG